AATGTATGTGTTTGTGTAGTTTTAATGGTAAATTTGTGTCAAGTTTCTCTATTTCTATATGGAAATAAAATTATAATAAAAAATAAAAATAAAAATAAAAATAATAATAAATAAATAAATAAATAAAATTAGAAAGAAAGAATCCCAAATTCCATTTAGAGACAGCCAATGTCACCACTGCTATCTCTAATAAGATGTCTCTAATTTGTTATTCAGCAAACCATCAAAAGTCCCTACAGCCAGAAAACCCAAGACATATGATCAAAAAACCAAACTGAAGGGTTCTGTCAAAAAATAACCAGGATAAAATAATCCCACTTCCAATTACAAAAAGGCAACAATATGAAGAAATAAAAGGATAACTAAACCTTGGAGCAGAAAATCCAATAAAATTAAATTTCTGAAAGAGTAAAAATACCCCACTGAAACGTATGCAAATGCTAAAAGTAAGTATTATAATGATAATAAAAATTTCAAAAACCAAGGCCAAAAAAAACCTGAACCCTGAAGTAAGTAAAAGTCAGTAGAATTTCTAAAAGGGTACAGTTGTATCCCACCTTTGACAGAGGAACTTATGGGAGTGTAAATTAGTTGATCTCATTTAACCTTCATAACAACACTGTGAAGCAAAGAGGAGAGAAAGTGATTTGCCTCAGACAACCTAGAGCTAGGCTAGGATTTGAATCCACATCTTTCTGGTCTACATGCAACTCTGGCTGCTAGACCAGTGGTTCCTAACCTGCAGGATTTCCAAATATCATTGGATTACAGTTCCCAGAATCTCTTACCATTAGCCATGTTAGCAGGTGCTTCTGGAAAGTTCAACAATATCCATGCTCTGAAAGTTAGGAATCACAATTCCCACTGAAAACTAGATGTGCAACTGTGTAGCTCTCCATCTCCCTCACCATTGGCTATTCTAGTTAGGGCTGCTGGGATATGCAGGTCATGAACATCAGCAAGGCCACAAAAAGCACTTTTTCTACTAGACAGCAGTGGTCCAGCTAGATTGCCTATTTTATTCCTGGGTTTTTAACAGTTGCAGAGGAAGTATAAATCTACTGGGTGATGCTTGCTTTACCAAATAATGTATCTGCTTGCCATTAAAAAAAAAATGACTGCTGAATCCTTGGCTACACTCACATGTATACATCTACTCCCTCAGAAGCTTATACAGTTGGCCCTTGGTATCCACAGATTATTTATTCATGGATTCAAACATCCACAGCTTGAATATATATATATTCCAAAATATATATTCCAAAGTATATATATATGTATATATATATATTCCAAAAAGCAAATCTTGATTTTGCCATTTTATATAAGGAACACCATTTTACTGTGTCGCTATGTTGTTGCATTTAATGGGACTTGAGCATTCATGGATTTTGGTATCCATGGAGGGTCCTGGAACCAAACCCCAGGGGGCCTACTGTTTATTATTGTTGTGTGCCTTTAAGTTGTTTCTGAATTATGGCAACCCTATCCTGGGGTTTTCTTGGCAAATTTCTTCAGAGGGATTTGCCATTGCTATCCTCTGTGTCTGAGAGAGTGTGACTTGCCCAAAGTCACCCAGTGGGTTTCCATGTCTGAGCCAGGATTTGAACCCTGGTCTTCAGAGTCCCAATTTAGTGCTTGAACCACTCCACCACACTGGCTTTCACTGTACTACAACTCACACTGTACTAGAACTCAAAGTCTCAAAAGGTGATACAACCAGATGCTTTTGCAAAACTAGCTTTCAGATGGAGTCGCCCTTGGATGCCATCTCGTCTCAGGGGAAGCTTGCAAACTTGCACTTCTTACAAAAAAAGATAAAAGTAACCATGGACCTTGAGCCTCTCCATCTCTCAGACTTTCCCTGGAGGCAGCGGATTTGGTGCTTATTTGTGTTCCTCCCTCCCCACCCTGCCCCACATTCCCACACTTGTTGTTGTTGTTGTATGCCATAATAACCCAAAGGGATTTTCAAATACATAGCTGTGTTAGTCTGTAGAATCAGTATGTAGAGATCTTGTAGCAACTTTGAGACTAACTGAAATGATGAGCAACTTCTTTATTTCAGTTAATTTCAAAGTTGCTACAAGATCTCTCTACATACCAAAGGGGTGTTGTTGCCATTGTGTGCCTTAATGCAAAGGTTTTTTTTTAAAATGTTGTTGTGTGCCTTAAACCCAAAGGGTTTTGTTGTGGTGGCGATGTGCCTCCAACTTATGGCCACCCGAAGGCAAACCTATCATGGGGTTTTCTTGGCAAGCTTCTTCAGAGGGGGGGGTTGCCATGGCCAAACTCTGAGGGCTGAGAGAGTGTGACAGACCCAAAGTCACCCAGTGGGTTTCCATGTCCAAGAAGAGATTCCAACCCTGGTTTTCAGAATCATAATCAGCCACGCTCAAACCACCACCACCTCACCTTGGCTCTGTTGTTGTTGTTGTGTGTTTCTTAGTCGTTTCCGATTTATGGCAACCCTATCATAGGGTTTTCTTGTCAAGTTTCTTCAGAGGGGATTTGATATTGTGAGAGAGTGTGACTGACCCAAGGTCAAGCAACTGGGTGTACATGTCTGAGCCAGGATTCCAACCCTGGTTTCCAGAGTCATATAGGTGCAATACCTATTTGTTGTTTGTTTTCGTCAACTGCCTTCGCGTTGGTCTCAACCCATGGTGACCCTATGGATATCTCCATGCCCCCCTGTCCTCTACTGCTCTGCCCACCTCCTGCAAACACATATTTGTGGTCTCTTTAATAAAGTCCATCCATCT